GACGGTGCGAGCGCATTTACTGCAAGAAGTCTCGCTAGCCTCTACTTGTATCTGATATGTGACACAGAGTGCAAACAATGGTGGTGGTGGTAGTGGTTAGAAGATGAGAAAAGGCACCTAATTTCTGCAACCCGGTCGGGAGCACGGCGCAGTGCCTGCGGGGAAGGGAAAAAGGGAGAAAAGTGGAAAGAAGAGGAAAGATTAATTGAGCAGTGGAGCGGTCATCATCAACAGAAGCAGCAGTCCAGAAGCAAAGGTAGGGGTGGCAAGGGCCCCATCCTCAGCGGTAGTGCAAACAATGCAGTCAGAGCTATGTGGACCAGTTGTAGGTTCGTAGCTGCGCCCCCCCTCCCCCTCCCTGTTGCGTCAATGTACGGGGCCAACTTTGCGCCCCCCTTATAGGTGATTAAGAAGGCGGTTGCCCCCCCCCCCGACCTCAGTGCGGACGCTTATGGTTCACATGTTGGCAGCCCCTTATGTCTCTGCAGGCTGAACCTTTGCGTTTTCGTGTCACGAACAGTAAGAAATAAACAGATTACCTGCCTAAAAAGTGGTCCATCTGGCCAAACCGCACACAACAATCCTTTAATTGTTGGCCGAAGCGAAAATTCAACCAGCCCCGCTTCGCGGACACTGATGAAGTGGCATAGCTAGTGGCCTGCCCTAATGACAGCTAATGCATTACTATGTCTTGGAATATATATATATATATATATATATATATATATATATATATATATATATATATATATATATATAGTTATAAACTTTGAGAATAAATAGTGCAATATAGCAAACAAAACAATAAAATATTTATTTAATCCTAACAGTTTCGGCTGGCGGACCAGCCTTCTTCGGAGAATCTAAGCGAAATGGTACAAGTTACCGTAGCAGAGGGCCACCCTTTGACGACCCTCCAAAAAGAAAAAAAAATAAAAAAATAAATATAAAATCCAACTGACCACCAACAGTATCTGCATTTCCACAGCAGTCACCCCCATCACTGCAAAACAGGTATTCCTTACTCTCAAGCCCGCAGATAAAATAATTTGCTCTGAAATTACGCAATTCGACACCCACGCACAGGAATTGAGAGCAGCCTTCTTGCATCAAAAGTACCACAAAAAAATGAATGACAATGCAATTGAGCGCGCTCGCTCTTTGAACCGAGAATCAACATTGGAAAAAAAAAGCTGAAATACATATATAACTTCAGGGGCAAATTTAATCCTCACATACTCCGCCGCCGCCCCTCGGGTGAATTCTATACTAAGCCGCCACTTCAACATACTTAAACAGAGTAGTCGCCTCTCTGCCGTTTTTCAGACTCCGCCCAAGGTGGTTTACCGAAGAAATAAAAACCTGAGAGACTTACTGGTCAGGGCGAAAACACACAAATCCAACCACCATCAGGGCTGTAGACTGTGCGGGAAACCTCGCTGCAGGGTGTGCACACACATGGTGACCACAGGTACGGCCGAAGTCTCCTGTTCAAATTAAATTAACATTATTATTAACAATTAACAAATTAACAAAATTAAAGACGACATTAACTGTGACTCAGCCAATGTGGTACACAAAATTCGCTGCGAGGTCTGCAAACAGAAATAAATGTATTGGACACATGGAAACCGCGTTCCCTTTGCGTTTCAACAACCACAGGGCACGCGTAAAGAACCTCCCCAATTTGCCGTTTTCCAAGCATATCAACCTCCCTGGCCACTCTTTCGAACTTGTAAAGGTCACACTCTTACAATCCGTCTTCCAGAACACACGGTAGCGCGAACAGCGGGAGTCATACTTCATGAAGAAATTCAGATCACTTACCCACGGAATCAACGAGAGCCCTGGGCGACTGACGTGCCACCGCGAAGTTTCGTGAAGCACAGAAAGTGAATTACTCAATTTATTTATACATACGTGAAGTCGCACACATTAGATTATCAATCTAGCGAGTGAAAATAAACGAATTCGATGCTATGTGCACCAACCGGCGTGTGTTAGTATTATTAGACTTTATTTTCATTTCTAAGTACCTTTTATTATTTTATCTTTTATTTTTTTGTTTATGGTTTTGTTTGTTCATCTTTTAAAGAATACCCATTCATTTATTTTCAGTATTACTGGTTGTACACTTTTCTGCAAGAGAGGGCAGATGGGGGGACGGTACCTTTTATTATTTTATCTTTTATTTTTTTGTTTATGGTTTTGTTTGTTCATCTTTTAAAGAATACCCATTCATTTATTTTCAGTATTACTGGTTGTACACTTTTCTGCAAGAGAGGGCAGATGGGGGGACGGGGGATAGGGCACATTAGCCTTCCATCATGGCCAATATTTTCCTAAAGCTGGAGCGGGTCGTATGCTTCTTGAGTGTGTGTGTGTGGGGGGGGGGGGGGGGGGCAGCCGCCGAACCACGTGAACTTTAACTCGATCCATGTGTGGGATGCGACTAAAGGGCAATATGTTTCACCTTTTCCCCTTTTCCTTGGTCGCCTCCGCTGCGTCTTATCTATCCCCAGTAACAATGCAAGGATTACCCGCCCGCTTCCGGCGGCTCTCCGTCGGTTCTTTCTACTTCCTCTCCTTCTTGTTTGTTGCTACCTCGGTCGCCCGTTTTTCTCGTTTTTTTTTTCTCTTTTTTCTCTTTTTTTTTTCTTTTTTTTTCGTTTTGGAGGGTCTTCATTCAAACTGTGAGGGTGGACCTCTGCTACGGGAACTTGTATCATTTCGCTTAGATCCTCAGAAGAAGGCTGGTCCACCAGCCGAAACTTTTAGTATTAAATAAATATTTTATTGTTTTGTTTCCTATATTGCACTATTCTCGAAGTTTATAACTTTTATTACGGTAGCCGGAAGAAACTCTGATCATCTGTTATATATATATATATATATATATATTAGTTCTTTTGCATCTTGTCCATACCACTCTTACGCACACATTTGCAAACAAAGAAGCATTCACTTTAAAAAATGCACGTCAATATGGTAGCATCATCAAGAATGCTTCTGGGAAGGCAATCTTCACTCGACTGAACGTCAGTCGGCATATTCTCCAGCTGTTCTCTAATTACACATATACTGGCCATTGTCGTACGTGAAGTTTTTTCATTTAGTGAACAAGAAAGCATCACCTTTATGAAAGTGCATATGTCACAGAAAAAAGACGAGACAACTTTCTGTGCAAACGAAAACAACGTTCGTCTTTTTTGTTCTCTTTATATATCCGGGACATGACAGCGACAGAAATCACCTAAGAGTGTCCATAAAATTGCTATGCAATCAAAGTATGCACTACATGTTTGAAGCTAGTGTTCTCTTTCCTGCCCGCAACAATATTTTTCAGAATATTAAGTGGAACACTAGTGATTAGTGGGGTTCTGTGGCACATACTAGTCAAATAAACCACATTATCATTGTTATGCCAGCATAGGGCACAAAAGACTTGACTAACTACAGCTTCGGGGGAGAAAAAAAAAACACCTTAGTTATTCTGTCACGCACCAAACACTCGAGTTACCTTCACTGCAGTACACTAATATTTTGCAGAAAAGCGTACTACAAAATTGAGTAGGGACTACCAGCAGTTACGAGGCACACCGTATTTTATCCCTAATTACTCATGCGTGCACGTGCTTTATAATAACAAGCTCCATTGTGATTGCCCACATTTACAAACAAAAGTGGTAATCGTGCTGAGTTTCTGCAGCCCTGCGAAACTGTAAACATTGCACGACAAGTTTGTATGTTGTCCTAAATCACCCTTATAAGAAATTCTAGTTATTAAAACAAATTCTAGATTTGATTTCCTCGAGTTTTAGTTATCGAGATCCTACCTAGACTCAGTAGATTCGTAAACAATCCCGTCTGTAATTTGTAGAGGTCTGTGGTGTTTTCTCCATCAATTTGGATTTACGGAGGACGTCATATTTCTGTTATGTGCTCTGCTGGTGAGTGAGAATGCCTTTTAGGGCCATTAAGTAGGGTTTGTAGGTGAGATTGACACTTTGCTCAGTCGTGAGATCATGAGTTGTACATTCTCTCATTCCCTTCAAGGCCAGCATGTGCCAGGCAGGCGATTTATTGCTGGTGTATATTCGTTAATTTAATTATGTCCCATCAGTTTAGTGTGATATAATCTGGTGTTGCAGGAACGGAATAGTTTATTGTTTTATGTTATTAATTTATCATTAGGTTTCTACCCACACAACTGTTTCTGTTTCATCACTTCAATTATTTTTGTGGACAAGTATCCATTCGTGTGTGGTGGCATGCTTCTTTTAAATCTGGGATTAATTGTTCATAATCTCTACGTTCTTGGCCATGTCGAAGGCTATGGTAAAGGTAATTGAGAATGTGTATGGAGGGGTGCTCATGAAATTTTTTCCTATCCTACCTAACTGCTATTGCAACATATTTATCCCAATTATAATGTGGTAGCATCAACATACATTGCATTTGTCTTTGTTTTCAGCTGCTTCTTAAGCCACTTTTCTCATTTCTTTCTCATTGCGTGTTGTTTTCTAGTCATATATTATAGTAAAGAGGCTACCAAAATTATGCGACAGCTAATCTCCAGCGCTTCTACCAATTTCTCATCTAGGCTTTGAGGGTGGGATTGGATACCCACTCTTTTTGTCAAGATGCAGAAGCCATGAATGCACTTGTGTACCAGTACTGTTACACAAGGAGTGTTTTATGTCATTCTTCTCTCGGCATACTCCTCTTCTGACTTCCTCCTAAACGCTGCTGTCATATATGTCACATATAGTATGTGACTGCTGGGAAGTGCATCTGTTCTGCAAAAACTGCTACTTTACACGTGTTATTGTACCAGTCTTCATAACTCTCTGTGCCAAGTACACAAGTGGCACTATGTTTAAATCCTAGTCTGTTTCTTTGCATGATATTTTCCTTACAATTTCTTTTGAAGAGGCAATTGAAGTGAATTTTCAAATTAAAATTCACCCCCTCCCCCTTTATTTTCTTTTCATGACCAGTGGAGACATCGCGAACAAACCTGGTGGAATCCACCAAGACGCAACAGCCAAGGAGGCGGCTCATTATGGCTGACATCGCTCTGCATCTTTCATCAAGCTTTGACGTACGTAGGAAAGAAATGTACATTTAAGAGATCGTTTTCTTTTTAAACACAATAATAATGAAATATAACAGACAATTGTGCCAAAGGAAGCATTGGGGATGTTATTGGAAGTAATTAATGTGAATGTGCAGAAAAAAAAAAGGCGGACGAAAAGATAAGGTGGTGTGGGCGACCTGACGTAGTGTGTTCTTAACTGACTTGGAAGTCAAACTGACAGTTTAAAGTGTTAGAATTGTGCGGTTGAATGTAATGAAATTAGTCAAACTTTTTAAACATTCTCGTTTATGTAGCTTAATAGTTACTCTTAAAAACAATGGCCCTACTTGGAGCATACTTTTGTTGTTGTTTTTTTGTCCTAGAACAATACTTTTTGTTCTCACTTTTTTCTTGCATATACACTCAAACTTCAATATAACAAATTTGGATATAGCAAAATATTGGTTATAACGAAGTAAGTGAAAATGGTCTTGCAATAGATTTAGTGTTAAAAAACCATTATAGCGAATTTTCAGATATAACAAACTTATTTTCATGTAAGATGCAAGTTTGTTATAATGAGGTTTGAGTGTATTACCACATACCTTGCGTTTGATAGAAAATGGCGAGTGCACACATTTTGAGCAATAAATTGCAAATAAGCCAAATGATGATTATTATTGCGGGACAGAGATGCTTTAAATACACCCTCTTTTTTAGGAGTGTGACATTGCTTTGCCCCCCTCAAATATAGAATAAAGCTGCATTCTCTGTTGGCATGTCCATAGTGACATTTTGTTTTCTAGCTGGGATGATCAACATTTGAAATAGTCAATGCATTATTTGTAATGGTCGAAGCACTAACTTATATGGAGTTTTACAGAAGGAGATCCCAAGTACATATTGAAATAGTACATATCAAACATTGCATAATACTTTGAATGAGACACTATTGCCATAATCGTTCTCAGGCTCTCCTGTGGTGGCCTGGAGGCTAAGGTACTCTGCTGCTGACTGGCAGGTCGCGGGATCAAATCTCGGCTGCGGGAGTTGCATTTTCGATAGAGGGGGAAAAGCTGTGGGCCCGTGTGCTCAGATTTGTGTGCATAGTTAAAAGTCCCAGGTGGTCAAAATTTCTGGAGCCCTCCACTACAGTGTCTCTCATAATTGCATGGTGGTTTTTGGACATTAAACCCCATACATCAATGAAATCAATGATTTCTCTCAGAAAAAGGAGCTAGTAAGCAATATAAAATAAAGAATACAAAAAAAAAGTTGGAATGACTACTGAGTTGTGATATTATTTCTAGAAGAGTGGACAAGTAAAAACGTTTACTGTAATTGAATCATCAAAATTGTCTCTAGAGAATGAAAATAATGATTGATTGATTTGTGGGGTTTAACGTCCCAAAACCACCATATGATTAGAACGAAAATAAGTATATGAGATTTTATAGAAAGGGGTAATAACATACGAAAAAAAAAAAAACTCTCAGGTAAACTGCTTTATTCCTGTAATTAAGGAGAACCCTCTGTACAGTGATATACTGCATTCATGGTTTGTCTCTTTCTGTTGGAATCAGATAGATTTTACTGTTTCATTCATATATGAAAGCTAATTGCTTGCATCAGGTTATGGTAAACAAGAATGAAAATGTTTGTGGGTTACTGAAACAAGGCATAAAGCTTGGTTTTGCACTGGTAACTAATTCTAGTAATGAGTATTTCTATATGTATACGTCAACATGCATATAGCCTTGAAATGCACTTTGGTGTTATGTAGGAAAAGTGGTTTGAAAAAAGCACTAATGGGTCACTTGGAGTAGCTCCTAATATTTGTCTTTGAATCCATGAAAAATAAGTACTAATTGAATTTGCGTCTATTTAGCACCTATCTTTATTAACACAGTCCTTAATTTTATGTTAGTCGTAACCATTTGGAGTGATGGCACAAGTACTTTACCCATTGCAGGAGGATGACACGGACGATGCTCCCATTGCTCCTGCGCCAGAGCAGCCTCACTCTTTGCCTGTGCAGCTTCGTCAAGCACCTCCAAGGCCCACAAAACTTCAGTGGCAGCACAAGCATGGAAGGGGTATGTCTGGTCATAGTGTAAAGTAGGGGATACAGAAAGCCGAGCATACTGTCTTCTTGTGGATATTTCGCTAGCTTTTAATAATGCTGAATGGAAGACATTGACAAAGGCTAAGTGCAAAACATTTTCACCTTTCATACATTACTTGTGAGGCAGGTCTTTTTAGAAGTTGCACCTTTGAGTTATATCTTACTGCTGTATTGCTCTTCAAGGCTGTTGTAGATATGTGATACTATTCAGCTGTAACAGCTGTGCATTAGCTATACCAAGTAATACAGGCCCATTGAATAATATAGGCACAACAGTATTTACCAGTCCATATAAATAGTATAGGCACAACAGAAACTGTGCCAGTCATTCAACAGGAATTCAACTAGATATTTATTTATCTCTTTATAAATGGACAACAGGAGGCTTATGAGCCACAGGGCTGCATAGGCCATTGCCTTCAGGCCTTTGGAACACCTATGCACAAGCGCTCAGCTTGCAGGGGCACCAAGAGCTGCATGGCAAACACAGTAGTTTCGACTATTGGTGCCCACTCCCGCACTGGCAGAGAGGCAAAGAAAAGGGCTTCTATTCCCGGGTGAAAAAAATATTTTTATTTGGATAATTGAGCAGGAAATTTTTCCAGCTGGAAAAAAATTTTGTTTGATACTCCAGCATTGGCACTTGTAGCCCATCTCGAAATGGATGAGCCTCTTGATTGAATATGGCTGAATACCAGCCTTTGACTGACTCCTGTTCCTGTGAGTTTCTGTGGATATTCATTCACTCAGGGCTGAGTTTTCAAATCAGAACTGTTTCCAGCCAGAAAAAGTTCTGGTTCAACAATCCAGCTGTAAATGTTGTAGTGGGCGATGGCTAAAGGAAAATTCCTGCGCAGCTATGCTGCATACTTTCTCAATGCCCAGTTCATGAGAGTTAAGGCAAGCCTGTTTGCATGGGTCTACGATGGTTGTGGCTAGGTGGAGTGCACCACACATCAGCTACCAGCACTTCACTTATGCCTCAGAGCTAGATTTAGAGCAAGGTACAGTATGTTTCACGCTTAAAATCTATGAGCATGTGGCATTGCACTCCTGCTGTCTTAGCATGACTCAGCTTATTAAGCTAGGTCTTAGCATGCAATGGCATAATTACTTAAGTCTACCTTTTAGATGATGAGCTAAGCAGCTGTGCACATGTATATAGGTTAAGAACAGAAGATAAAGTGGAAGAAAAGAGTGCATGTCGGCCGAGCAACGCTTTGGAAGGTAGAATAGTTTACTGGTGGCACCACATGACATAACGAAAGGTTTTACCAGTTGCACTGTAAAAAAAATATCAATGCAATCAATTGACAAGAAAAATACTATTGAGTTGTCTTATTGGAATGCACAAGGACGGGCTGTGTGGCTTTCTATTATTAAAAGGATGAAAAATTCAAGAACACAAGTTGTCACTGGAGCCTACATTTCAACAAGCGGATTTGTCTTCTGTAACACTGCAGTCTTGAAGAAGTTGATGAAGTGAGAAAGACAGCCTTAGTTACAGTTTTGAAGACAAGTCTGCTTGCCGAAATTTCGGCTCCAGTGGCACCCCGTGTCTACGACTTCATCTTTTCAAGCTTTAATCTGCTTCAGAGCTTCTTCCTTTTTTAGCATTGAGGCACTGTTGCATGTCGTGGCATTTGTCACTTCTGCCGACTTAAATTGCAACATATTATAAACAATATAGAGTTGTGGTATGCACACTGATTATGCAATAGTTGTGGTCAGACTGTTATTTTGTGACATATATTTTTATTGTTCCAGTATTCTGTTCATTTGTTGGTGTCGAAAAAAAAAAAGCTGAAGAGATTATTGCACAACATCCAACTGCACGACACCTTATTTTTGCCATATTGTGAAAAAACCAATGTGCCAGAAACAATTTTTTCCATGAGATTTGCACTGAATCGCTATCATAATTTACCTCTTCGTAAGTGTTCACAATAATTATTCAAGTGTCTAAATGTAAAGGCAACTTGCTTCTCCAATGTACTTCAGCATATGAAATTAGCTGTTCCATGGTGCTCTCGGATGCAATATTACCTGTGCCGAAGTGCTCCAAAATGGAAATGTTACTGCTTCAGAAATTTCTTCAAATCACAAGTCCTCATTAGCATTACTGTATATGTCTCAAGCAGATTACCATTCTTGGATTATGAGAGTTTATAACTTACAAGAATAAGACTTTCATAATTCCAGCAGCTGAACAGAAAAGTCTCGATGCATTCACTTGAGTTTATAGTTCTTTTAAACACTAGTAAAGTGAATGTTATGGCATGACTTGAGTTTCTTTTTTTGTTTTTTGCTCATTGTAATATTGACAAACTGATGAAACATTTGCCCATTACTGTCGTTCATTTAGGGTGTGTTAGAATTATTGATGTTACCCAAGGCAATGTAAACAGCCGACATATTTTTGCAATGATACTTTTCAGAAGATTTATTGAGAACATCTACGCATTTTTTGACTAAAGTAATTGAGAAGTTTAGTGTTACGTGTAAGCAGCTGAGGTCACCCAGCGCTGTTGTCTGCAATGAACATTTCATTATTGTATATGTGTCAAGATTGTCAGGATAATGAATGACGATGTGAACGTCATTGCTTTTTCAGGAGATAATTCTGATGTTCCAACTACATCATTACTGAAGCACAAGTTAGAGCGTCGGCATAGCATCACCGTGTGTGAATCTCCATCGAGGACACCATATCGCACAGCTCAGGATATGCTCAATCACCCTGACAAAGTGGCACTTGATGCACGACAAGAGTCTGGAAAAGAAAACTGGACTACGGTATGGAACATCTTTTTCTAAATTTCGTGCTTAGTAAGTTTCTATTTGACTGGACTAAAGATTGTCTTTACTATACATTAAATATTCAATACTATATATCATGAAATTTATGCTATCTGTTCATTCATTGATGTTTTGTGGCTATGATTGGAAAGGTGCACTTTATTTGGTACTCAGCCTGCGACATTGTGAAACATTGGCAAGAAGTCAATCGTTAGATTACCTGAGTGTGTGGCTCGGTGTGTATCAATAGTACATGCATTTGATATCATGCCAGGACAACTATTGTTTTTTTTATTATGAAAATATTCTGTTATTTTTTTAGGCATCTTTTGAGTGTCGTAACTGATCCCTGAGACTACACAGAACATTTTGAAGCAGGAAGATGAGGTTTCCAGTCTGTGCGTTGCTTGCATGAGCATGTTCATGATGTAACGGCAGCGAGCCCACTGAATAGAAAAAGCGGTGAAATGCCATCTTAGAAACTGTATAACTTTTTATACAATTTTTTTGTTTATTACTAAACCTACACAAACAGCTTCACATAATTGCTAAAAAAAAAATACTGATTTAGTTGTAAACACAGCCCTGCAAAAAGTATTTCCAATGTCCACAGCATTGCATGTGATGTATGAAACTGAGTATAGGAAAGCACTTGGTACCTGTTAGTGCAGTTTAGTTTTTAGTTTCATGCTGCCATCATTTTTTGCACCTAAAATGTGTGTGTGGCTGGTATTGGGTTATCGAGTTATTTAATAACGTTGTTATGATTGTACATAGTGGGCCAAGAAACCTGTCTGGGAGTGTATGATTTAACAGATTTATTTTAACCCAACATTGTTTTTTTTTTTAGTGCTTGTTATAGTGATATTGCATATGTGTGAAAGTTCTGGTGTCATTCTTTGTATATTGGTTAAATTTGTTTTCCTATCTTTTGTTTTCATAGACCCAGTGGGAGAATTCAATGGAGTGTTTGTCCTTAACTCTGGAGGAAGTTGTTCACATACGTAATGTTCTAACGAAGGCAGAACTGGAGTCTCTGCTTGCCAATAGACCCCTTTACGACGATGTTGAGAAGAAAAGAGTAAGCATATTTCGCTCAGAATACTGTCTTCATTCATGTGAATAAGTTGCAAAAAATAATTGCTGATTATGTTTTTGTAGGTCTGCTTCACCTGCAAAAAAACCAAGTTCTCATTCTTCAGGCCATGGGGAGTTGTATGCAAGCTGTGTGAGAGAAAGATCTGTGACAAATGCTCTACTAAGGTACCAGTCTTTGAATATGCATTGTGAAGCTCGAACATTGGGTTATTATACCAGAAATATGGATTTGCTTCGCTCGTGTAATAGTACTTGACTTATTGGTGCATAATAATTTGGCATGCATGTCGACTTAGGCACAAGTCATAGGCTCATGCCGAGTTTACTTGGAACATTGACACAGAACAGCTAGAGATAGTTTCACACACAATACAGTTTAACCCCTTTATGAGAGGCATGCTCCAGGCAGTAATTATTGTCTTCTATATGAGATGTCTCTTATAAGCATGGTACCATTTATGCATTTTCTTATCGACCTGTATTTTATTGTAGGCATACTGACGTCTTTTATACCCATTTGTCTCCTGTATCAATGTCTCTTATAGAGGGGTTTGACTAATATAAAAGGGCCACTATGCTGATACTGGTGGTCTCGGTGCTGTTATGTTTCCCCTTTGTAATCCTGTCCCGTCATCAGCCATGCTAAAAAGTGACGGACAATTACAGGTATTCTGTACTGATGTTAGTGAAAAGGTGGTAATTTGTTGCATTTAAAATATACCCCCAACCAGGTCTTATTTGAGCAAGCGCAGGTAATCCTGAAGCAAATATTACAGGTATTCTGTACTGATGTTAGTGAAAAGGTGATAATTTGTTGCATTTAAAGTATACCCTAACCGTGGAAGGCATTATTTTCACTTTAGCTCAACCAGATTGCGCTCCATGTCGGGTATCAGTGATGCACAGCGGGTTTCAAAATAGCATTTCTTAGAAACATCAACTTTTTTGTCCTTGTGGCACGTAAACAAATAAAATTTTCTGCAGTTTATTTTTACACAATATAGGTGACAGTGCCATTCAGCAGTCTGCAATGTAGTTGTAACCAATTATTTTGCATTATCTATATTTTAAATTGTAGTCAGTAGCTGTTTAAATGAATTCGAGTATTTTTAATCATTTATATATTATTGGTGAAAATAATCAAGATATTTGCACATATAAGAAATTGAGTAGTTACAGCACTGTCATATGTTAATATGTTAATTCCAAATCACCAACTAGTGGCAGCATCCGTTGTATCACATGAAAATAATCAAATTTTTCCCGTAATTATTTTTTTCATACACGAAAAATAAATGTTCTTTGTGTTTTTTTGTATATGCAAGAGCAAAACAAAGAAGCTTGAAATAAATTGACCTGGAATTTCCTTTTTGGGTCTTAGAAGGCCAAAATTGATGCCTAATGGTACAAATTTCAGAAAGCTCATCAAGAATAGGAATGTACTACATGTTGTATATACTGATGTAGTGCTACAATATATCGAAACTCTCATGTTTGAATCGGCCTTCAAGCAGCTGATTATGCTGCTTTACATTTGGGCTAGTGTGAATTCAGAGGCAGACATGGAACAGCCTGCTGTAAAACTTGCAGCCTCCCAACATGCAGGCAGGCCTGGCTCCAATATGGCAAATCTTCATTGCCAGCCTTTGGCATAGCTGCCTTAATTCTTTTTATTTGAGCAGTTTTACCAAAGCCAAATCATGTAGGCAGAAGTAGCATCTGTAATGTTGAAAATTGCTTTGGTTTCTCTAAATGATCAAGAAAGTGCTGTCCCTGTGGTCTGTGGCATTGCAGGATCTAATGACGAAGGCCTCTGCATGATGCATTACTTCACTTTATTGCCCCCCTCCCCTCAGACACCGACACTATCCCACTGACCAAGAGCACTGCGAGAGGGCAGTTAGATATAAAAGGCGCATTTGTAAAGCTATTGAGGGTGTCATGGAAATCTTTGTGCTTTCATGAATAATGTCATCCTAGGCTTAGTGCAATATGTTCTGTTCTTTAGGGATACAGCCGGGTGGGGGAGTCACACTTTTCACTGTTTTGAAATGTCATTTCTGGCCACGGGATTGTTGTCTATAAAGTGCATGTCGAGAATAAGTTTCTCAGACTGGCTATTCATTTCTATAGATGGACCTGTCTTTGTCAAAGCTGCCTCATCATTCTTGGCATGTTAGTTTTGAAAGGGTCGGGTGTCTATGACCAATGAGGTGTTGACAATCATAAAACAGTTTTACATTCGATGCTCATTGTATCCAGCTCATGACAAGCTCATGCATGCTCATGACACTTAGCTCATTACACTTGATAGTAATATGCACAAAGCTGTGTCAAGTCTTGACTACTGCAAGATGCATTATGCTGTAATTTGCAAGCAGCACTCAGATATAGATGTTTTTCAGAATGACCATAATTCTAAACTGCAAAATGCTATTCCTCCACAGATGCACATTCCGACAGACAGGTTTGACCGTATACCTGTTTATATGCTGTGCCCGACAGCTACAGAAGAGGATTCACCGAATCACTCTCCACTTCCAAAGCTTTTTCAGTTTACCAGGTATAATATCAAGTTCTATGAAATTATTATATATTAGTGTAGTAAGGTACTAGCATTGCTCATTCATTAAAATATTTAACTGTGCATTTATAAGGGTCAAATTTGTGGGGTCTCGGCGAGGCGAACGTGCGCATCGCCACGCCACGCTCTTGGAGTGAATGGACACAGCAGATGCGGTCGGTACAAAGCACACAACATGCATACATTTATTAACTAATTTAGACGACGATATCGTCCGCCAAATGTTACATCAATTTCAATTAACACGCTACCATACAAACAACATAATGCAGTGACACACTAAACACACTAACACATACCCAAGGCGGCGTCGCCAACGCCTGACTTTCCACGTGGGACCCCGGCGCGAAGCCCGCGGTGCCGAGCACCGGGGACCCACGCTACAGACAACCGTTCGCGGCAGCCGCCACGCGCAGAAGAGGCTCGTTCAACTCTCGGCCACCACCAAGGCCCGCCTTCCGCCAGGGGCCACCGCCGGCGCTACCACTCTACCAACAGTGGTACTCAAAGCGAACACAACGCCATCTATCACCCGGCGGTGGTCACCACCGAAACAAAGCCTTGGGGCGAGACACGTGCGCCACGCGGCGCAGACAACTTTACAGGGGGGGTGTCAGCACCCCCACAAATTTCAGAATCGGAAAGGTTATATTCCCACGAAGTAGTTGGGGGTCCATCAGGCAAAAAGCTGCATCACACAGCTTGAATGTGCCTGAAGGCCCTCATAAAATGAATATAAAAGACGGTATTTGTAAAGTTTTGTCGCACATAACATATTATGTTTTTGAAAAAGTTGTGCAACGGAAAGAAGAATAGGTACATTTACTATGTGTTGAAGCGTGTATTTTTGAATTTGAAGAAGTGCACAAATGTTATCTTTCTTAGGGGGGGGGGGGGGGCCCTCACACATGCACAATAGTTAAGATGCGATTCAAACAAGGCATAATATATCTCTAATTTTACCCTCTCTGGAAGAAATGTCGACAGCGAGACAGCACACCAGTGCTAGGTGACAATCATTTTGCAACTAGTTCAATGTGATGGGTCCAATTCATATATTCTGAGAGCATAATACCTAATACTTTGTGTTTTCTCAGAATTTCAATGGGAGCACCATTCAAAAATAATTGTTCACTGAAACAAGGCTGCCTCCTTCTAGCCCTGAATAATGTGGCCTTTGATTTTGAGCTGTTACCTGTTAGAGCATTATAACAAGCCCATGCCAACAGATTAGAAAGAATACTGCAAGATTTCTGCATCAAGTTGGCAGCCAGAGACAAACGAACTTGTATTGTCAGTGTACAGCACAATGGATGCATTAATGACAATTTGGTGTGTAAATGTGGTTATCTGCCATGTTTTTGGCCATTTTCACTTGAGTCTGTTTGAAGTAACTCTCTCTGATTCACATGTGGTTTTTAATAATGATGTTGCATTGCCAAAAAATTTAGCTGAAGAGTTTCTCACCGCCTTTTTATCTAATCAACACTGTTGAGTAGTTGCACCCTATGAAGTTACGAGACCATGTGCATTATCAGTGACAGTCTCCTTTTAACAAAAATGAAGCACTTTTGAAAAATAAAGAATTTCAAATGTGATGGTTCTTGCAGCCAAAAGTGAAGGCCAGTGTCTAACATTGTGAATTTCAATATATTTTGAAATAAGCCATATTAGATGCTTTTTCATGAAGCAGCAACATGGTGTAATTGTTTGGAAGGTAGCCAAAAATTGCGTCACGGTCATTCCATACACATCCTTAAAGTTGCAATGAAGTGCATTGGTGCTATATGATAATTGTGAGTCGATAGCGTCAGTAATAACTAACTGATCTTTACACCTCTTCACAACAGCTGCAAGTGACAGTTCAAAGGACCAGACTATGTTCACATTTGCCAAAATGTCTCATCTCTAGCATTCTCTGAAGTAAAGGTCCTTGCTTTTCGTAGTGAAACACTGAGGAGCTAACTTTTGCAAAGGCTCTTCTTTTGATTTTTAATTCTGCATAGATACCTGCATAAATATTTTTCACCTGCAACGAGTTGTCTGACCATCTGTTTCTCTCCTTATTTTTATGGCTATGCTGCACAGTCTTAGGCATAAAAGTGCCTAGGACTGTGCAGCACGATCGCCGTGATCTGTTCATGTCTTACTGCCATGACCTATGCATGTTAACCATGTGAAATATGTTTTTTTTTTTTTTGCCAGCGGTTCTGCTCCATCATCGCCGATCCCGGGCAGGCCTGGAGGTGCCACAACATTCAATACAAAGCTCAACGTCAGCGTTTATTCACCACCGCATTGCACACCACCACGACCAAGGGTCCCGAAACTTCGCCATGCATCCTCGATGTGCAGTCCAAGAATTGGTGTCCCTGAAGACATGGCTGATCAGGAGGCACGCAGGGCACCCCTGCTGCGCTCCCGCACATTTCAACAGAAAGCCAGCTCTCCACAGGAAGAGCGGTTGCGCGGCCCGCTTATGACTGTCTGCCGGGACTGCAAGGGAATGATAAGGCAGATCATTCTGGCTAGCAGGGCCGACATGGCCAAGTCACAACGGAAGGCGTGCAAGCCACCACTGGGCGTCGTTCACAAAAACTGAAAGCAAGAAAAGTCTGGAGAGCAGTGAAAGGGGCACCATGTTTTTTTTTTCTTTTTCTTTTTCTTTTGTGAATAGTTTCTTGGCAGATAAAGCAATAGAAGTGTGGCTTCTGCATGTTGAGTTTCGTGTCCACTTGCTGTATAGTGTCTAGAAGCATGCCTGTTCTCATGTTTACTACAGCACAGCCCCAATTTATTTAATATTTCAGAAATGATGTTGTAGTATAGTTTCTTGCCTTGGTGTGATTCACAGTGGTTATGCAAGACTAGGCTGGTTTGTTAAATTTTTTTACATAAGGTAGCTTTTGCTGGCACAAGTTCCACCCTCACTTTTGAATGCTATGACATGTTATATATATATATATATATATTTTTACTGTACAGTTTTAAATAGTTGATGTGGCCGCATGTTGCATAAGTGTTGAATTTTAAGATTTTATTTTTTTTTCTTTGAGCATTTATGTAAAAATATGTGCTATATGCTGGAAAGAAACGTATGTTTTCCCTAGCACCCTCGCTCTGCAAAAAGATATATATATATATATATATATATATATATATATATATATATATATATATATATATATATATATATATATATATATATATAATTTTTGCTGATGTTTTCAGAAGAGTGTAAATACATGTACATTTCATGGGTTTACTATGCACAAACACCTGTTCGATATGTTGGATAAACAAAACCCCTGCCATTGTTCTTCAGCTCCGAGTGCCTAAGTAGGCAAAGGTGTGGCAGATTCTAAAAGAATCTGACATAATTTGTGAGGAGCCACTCGACTGATAGTGTGTGAGACATGTAGTATCTCTGTTCAATCTGTGCAATATCATCCCTAATTTTTATTGCAGAATGAGTACCAGTTATTGCAAGAGTTTAAGAGGAAAGGGACAAAGTTCACAGTGTGAGAAAGACAGAAAAATGTGTAAGCATTTTTGCCCCAGCAGTTGAGCAAGTGCATCATAGTAGTTCAAAGTGGAACTACTAATACACTATGAAATAGGCCAAGAATTGGGTAGCCAAAGGAAACAGAGAAATAGTCATCAGATTATAGTGCTTTAGAATATACATTTCTTTGTTATTATGGAATACTTGCCAACACCATCTTGTCCTATTCCTTTGTTCTCTATAGGCACCCCATGAAAATTGCATAGGATTTTATGAGACACTGACATTAGTTTCATGACGAAATATACAAAAGCCTGATATTACTACACAAGTCACCTTAATAACATGGTCAAGTACTTAGAGGGGTCCTTAAAAGCTTTCCCAGTAATTGCCAACCTCGGTATCAGAGCTTATTACCTCGTGAATCAATTGCTGCAAAAATTTTCAAATCTATCGAGAACCAGAGATTTGTCACGTGCTTTCAGCACTTTTTTCTTTGCCCCACTTAGTGCACTGGAAGCTACACAGAGAAGGTTGACAAAGGCTGAGAATCTATATCTGCACATGTCGTTAACTTGAGCCCTTCTCATGAAATGCGTTCACCTGCTTACTGTGCAATTGTGATGCATACTAATGTAACTCGTGTTTAACTACTGCGTACTACTAGCGTAATTTAGCACACTGTAAAGTGTGGCGTCTGCATGCGGCAGCCCACCACTGCAAGAAGTGCATCTGATCCAAACACTGCTCTTGATTTACATCTTCTACTGGTTGATAGCGGTAGTCTGCTTCTAGCAGCAGCTGGTAGCTCTGGAGAGGGTGAGGATCAGCCTCTATATCAGCAGTCTCAAACTCGCCTCAGCTAGCGGACCAGACACAAAAAATTACTCCTGCAATGGCCAAGATAGCAAAGAAAGTAGGAATGAGGGGGAAGTGGTGGAGGTGTTGGTACATTATGTAAGTTAATGTCTCCATTTGAAAGGCCTTTTTCGTATCTCATGAATGGGTCTTTTGTGATGGGGACTCGGTGCCAGGATTCCAACAACATACAGATATCGATGTTCAAGATGTCTAGAAGCTCAACACATTGTGATGGCAGAGGGTAACTCACAAAAAAATTCTTCAGACCAGTAATACCTACATGTAGATCATGAAAATATTTAAAGAAAAACATAGTTGATTCCTCTGTCCTAGGAATCTGTATAACATGAAACTAAAGTTATCTTCACAAAATTAATTTAATGTTCACACTGATATAAGCGAGCTGTTTTTTGGTGCCAGATGTGTATATATATTTACCATGGAGAAGCATGTTTCCTGGTTATAAACCTGAAACTGGACATGTATAAAACATGTATGAAACTGAAATGTATGAGAGAGCCTTTACAATGACTGCTGTTGATGCTTGGTGGTACATCCCGTTGATGGACATACATGGTCAATTATTAAACAAGTGTTCGTGATAGCTGTAGTAGCACACGGTGAGAGTGTAATCAGACAAAGTGGTGGGACATCCAGTAGAGTGACGCTGATTAAATTGAGAACTTCTGCTAAAGTTGCCATCGCACGCCAGGAGCTATTGAACACCATGGCTGGACTGTAGATAAACACAACGAATGCCCCCATCTTTTCTCTAGTCTCGCTACGATTTTTCTCTCGTTGAGCGTAAGCAGGGTACGCGACGTTGCAGCCAGGTGAGGCAGGTGTACGTTGAAGAGCTATTTTCAGTATAGGTAAATGCAAGGGCAAAGATGAGGCTTCGGCTAAGGTCACCACCTCACGTCTTGTTAAGGCATTGACAAAATTGCACTTCTATTGAAAACACGCCGAATGAGATGGACACGTAGCAATGATGCATTGCAGGAGCTAATCACGAAGGCCTCTGCATGATGCATTACTTCACTTTATTGCCCCCTTCCCCTCAGACACCGACACTATCCCACTGACCAAGAGGACTGCGAGAGGACAGTTAGATATAAAAGGCGCATTTGTAAAGCCTCCAGAATGTATGACCGTGGAGCAGTGGATAGCGTGCCCAGCATCTGTTGTCGGGATCTTAGAGATCATGTGTTCAACTCAGGTCGATGAACTTTTTTCTGAAGGTTTTCTTTGCCATCTGATCATGTGCATTTCCTCTACATTACTTTTGTATGTAAATACATCACTGAAGTCTGGGTAGACCCCGGCATAACACTTGTTAAATATGGTACGTTCTCTGTGCACGAGTTGCAGGCTGCTAAAGATGAATAAAGAGAGGGGGGCATATTTCAGACCCTTGCTCTATATAAAGAAAGGGTGCTTGAGAAAGTGGCAACATTACACTGTGAAAATAAACTGTGCTGTGCACAACTACAAAATTTGGCTGAGCTGCTCATGGTAGTGTTTACTGTTTGTAGAATGTTTTTTCACCAAGTTCAGGACACCTTTTATGGTCAGTTCAGAACTAAGAACTCGCCTTGCATCACGGGTGCCTTTTTGTTGCTGTGCCTCCTAGAAAATAAGTACTATCCACCTATATGAGTCTCCTGCACACTCTTTTTACTCCATCTGACAAAACTGACTTGGTGAAAGCATAATAAGAAAATGCACAGGGAAGTTTACTGTCGCAAATCGCTTGTGAAAATTCTAATTGCAAACATGTTTTTCACACTCCTGAAAGAAACCTCCGACTAGAATAGAAACTGACCTACATTCATCTATTATGGCCTGCTAAGTACTGCTGATAGTTTGATACAAAGGACTTGAAAAGATATTCAGTGATGTGGCACTTTCAGTCAGTATGTAATTGTGCATGTTTATAATAGTATATTAGTTTCTGCTGCCAACAGAATATACTAAGTGATTCACTTCAGAGATTAGTAAAAGTATGGCCTTATGTTAATGATGTAAGTGTTGTGAAGTGTGGATTACAGAATGTGTACCGAACAACACGATTAGCAATGTGTTTTAAAGGGACACTAAAGTCAAATATAGCAATTTACATCAGTGAAAGCTCAATGTATGGCAACATCTAAAACGACAATACATATTATCAACAGCAGTGCCCTACTTACCGAAAAATTAGGGCAAATGCACAAGAATATGTGTGCTACAGTAGGACATTCTCAAAATAACGATGTCAAACGAACCGCCTACAATTACTCACTAGTAATCGATATAGCTGCACTAAAGAACCTTCCGTGCATCAAGAAAAGCAATGAAATGCTGCTATTTGAATAATGAAAAAAAAACTTTATGAAATGGCAGGAGTGGTTCAAAAATTTAATTTTTGCGTGGTTACACTTGACAGGTTGTGCCATCTAGCGGGGTGTAGTTGAACCAAAACACGTCTGCCATCTCGGAGCCAATGGCAGAAAATTTATCAATAGCTGTTGTTGCTGCTGTGGCTCCCATTGCTTTCGTTCTATCTACTAGTGGCGGTGACCGTGCAATAATGCCGAGCAACGTTGTGCACAGCAATAGTGACGTGAGTGGGACCGCTTCTCGAGGCGGGTAAATTGAACTGCGCTAACCCAATGCAGGCCACTAAAACATGATTTTATTTCAAATTAAGCCCTTCCTTGGCACAAAAGTAACATTACGAGGTTTCTGGACCACTATTTCAACAATCAATGTCAACTTAATAGTTGCCTTTAGTGTCCCTTTAATCTTTGGGACACCTTAGTGCAAACAATTCAAACATGGAATGTAGTATGCATTGTGTGAAATCACGAACATTCCACATGATTTCACGTGATTTTGCACAATGAGTTGCTGCACTGCCGGGGCAAAAACTTGCCAAGGCTATATGGGTCACAATGTGACTTTCTCCGAAACTAAGTCTCTAATGTGCACAATATGGTTACTGCCTTTGTTCCTGCACTGCTAGACTCGATTTCCTTTACTGTACTTTTATAAATTGGGTACATGTATCATTGTGTGTATGTGTGTGTGTGATCACCACTGTTGTAAAGCTTTCCAGCCATGCATTTGTGATAATATAGTATTTCCATGCAATAAATAAAAGTAGGTTGGCGCTATGGCCGAGTGGCACAGGTATTGTATTTTTTCTATCCTGTAAATAGTTTTACTCTTCATGATATTTATAGCACGCTCTTTCAATTTAAATGAAATGATATAACCACTATGGGCATTAACTGCGATGTTCACTCATTATCCACATAGTTGGCATACTGACATCATCCATTTAAGCACTTGAAACAAGCATAGCT